GAGAGGGGGGGGTTGGTGGGGAGGGTGTGGGTACCCACTGCCGTAGTGCTCACCTTAGAACCATTGCCAACAATATTATGTAAAGGCGAAGTTAAAGATTGAGAAGAGACATGAGAAATAGTACTTGGGTCGGAGGCGATGTGGTGCATGGCTCTCGTGTCGAAATACCATGTGGGTTCCCGTAGGGTCATGGTATCAAATTAGTGTGCTAGGGCTGTGGGTGTGGGGTTGGGAGCCTGCGGGTGGGGGTGGGGTTTGCGGGTAGGGTGATGGGTAGGGGAGGGCTGTCGAGTAAGGGGGTAGGGTTGGGGTGGGGTAGGCTGTTTGGCCGTAGGGGTGGGGTGAAGGGTTGGGGTTGTAGGTGTAGTAGGCAATGGAATTTTGGTGGGTAGGGTTGGGTGGGCGCGGGTCGAGAAGACCCGAGCCGGGGTTGCGATGCGGTGAGTTCCAAGGTACGTAGCCGTCATGTGGGTGTCGTTGCGAGCCAGAGTTTCTTCCATGTCCACGGCCGCCTCCACCACGACCGTAGTTGCGCCCCTGCTGCCCGCGGCCACCACTGCCGCCGCTATGCCCGCTGCCAGGCGAGCCACTGCCACGCCCGAAGCCGCCGCCGCTGGTGCCGTAAGGTGGGCCACCGGTTCGGCCGGCCAGGAGGGCCGTCCCGGCGTCGTCTGTGATGGTTTGCCGTTGTCGATCTAGGAGCGGAGAGCGGATCGGGTCTGAAGGAACGTGGGCAGCGGTTGTTGGATTTGTAAGAACGACGTCTGAGCCTGGAGATCTTCGGGTAGCCCACGAAGCATTTGAATCACAAGTTGAGATTCAGAGACCGGGGCATCAACGTCATCCAACCAATCGGAAATGTTCCGCAGGGTTTGACAGTACGTAGCCATGGTCATCGTACCCTTGACGGTGGTTCGAAACTGGTGCTCGAGTTGCATCGCTCGAGCGTGTTTGTTGTCATGGAAAAGTGCATGAATGACCCGCCAGAGTTCATCAGCGGTGGAGGTGGTGGAGATAACCAGATTTGAGACTTCGTCAGAGATAGTAGAGAGAATCCATCCTTGGACCAGGGCGTCAAGCTGGAACCATTCATCGTCATCGGCAGAGGAGGGAGATGTAGAGCCCGAGAGAAAGCCGTGGAGAGTAAACCGGCGCACCAGGAGAAGAAAGAGCCGGCTCCACTCTTTGTAGTTGGGCTGAGAGAAACTGAGCTGAATCGGGACATGAAGCTTGACGTTGGAGATTGTTGTGAAGGCAAGATGAGGGGCATTGGAGGAGGAGGAAGAGGTTGAGTTTTCTGTATTTTTGTCGGAGGAAGACATATTGATAGGGGAGGAGGGTGCCGACGTCGGGAGGGGGGGCTGTGCTGCGCCGGGGACTGTCCGCCGAGAGGAGAGAGGCGGCAGCTGTGCAGCGCTGGAGGAGAGCACGCCGAGAGAGAGAGAGGTGATAGGGTTAGGGTTTTTGGTTGGAGAAAATTATGGCTTTGATACCATGAGGAATTGTGATTTTTCTTGAACAATAATGTGGGAGTACATGGGTTTATATACACAAGCTATTCCTAATCCTAATCATGGTAGGATTCTACAATAGGAAACAATATGTGTACAATAAATATAGAATATATATTTAACATAAATATAGAATATATTTAACAAACATAACAAAATTAGAAAAAACTATATATAACGGATCGGATATTCGGATAAACGGTTATTTAAACGGATGCATATTCGGATCGGATTTTAAACAGATCGGATATACATTTACCAAATCCGTATCCGTTTAGTAATCGGATATCCTTAATCAGATATGGATAATATTTATTTAAAACGGATGCGAATATTTCCATTTTAAATGGATACAAATGCGGACGGTAATCGGATTTTCGTGTATCCGTTGACAACCCTAAATGCACATGTAGTTTTTATAGTGGACGCCGATAGAGATATTGTCTGGATTGATTTGATGGGACAAATCAATAAATTCGACTTAAATTTCATAGAAATAGATGTAACACATTTGACTTAAATTTAAAGTTTTTTTTTTTTAAAAAAATAAAACTCAATTCCCTAACTCCGACAACCCCCAAAAATCTTCAAAACCCGCTACATTTGGATTTGAGAAACCCCAAATATTCGTGGATTCTTGCAATCTTCACTTAAAAGTCAAGAATTAGTCACAGGGAAGCGTTCTCCAGAGAAAAAGGTATTCATATTGGCCTATTCAAAGGAGGAATATATACATAACAGTATAACAGTCTGTAAAGCATCATATCCCCCCCCCCCCCCCCAAAAAAAAG